GATAGCAGTGAGCCTGCCCAAAGAGGGCTCTGTGCTCTCCATCTCCCCTCATTCCCTTTTTCTCACCTTCCCTTCCTTCCTCTCGTATAATGCTTCCTTCTTGCCTTGCCTTTCTCTCCCCCTTCCTCACTCTTTGTGCCTCTGGGGTAGACTCTGCTAACTGGACAAGGCTTTGTTAGAGAAGTCGGTCTTACATTTAGACTTGAACGTGATCGGGCTCTGTCTCAGTCTGGCTTACCCTGCTAAGGAGATCACACTGCCGAGAAAGGCCTTGGTATCAGACTCTCAGCCAATCCAGCTGCAGCACCCTTGTGGAGTGTAGGTGCCTTGGTGGGTCATGGTTGGACAAGCAAATGTACAGCCATATCAGTCGCCAGCTCACCATCTACCCATCAGCTCATGGGCCACCTTCATCTGCAGGTTTAGCCCATGGAGACTACAGGCCCCAGCATGCCATGCTCTGCCTACTTGGATCAAGATGGAGAAGAGTAGCTGGATACTAAATATGAGGGCACCTGTGAGTAGTACGGTAGAGCTGTACTTTAGCCCCCGCGCCAAAGATAAAAGAACAGCTCCACCAGGGGGTGCTGTTATATCCACTAGCCGCTGATATATTTCAGTAGAGCAGACCTGTGGCTCTTATACACACATAAGCCATCACATCACACCATCACTGGAGGACTTCAGAGGATATAACTGAATGGCTCTTGCAGATCTTTGTAACTGGGGTGAAAGTGAAATGATGTTCTCTATTTTCCTGTCCTGTTTCAGAAGTGGGAGGAACAAGTTTCTGTGAAAATGAATAATGCAGGGGAAGCTGCAGGGTTTGCTATGAAGAGGAGAATAAGTGACTGAAAGAAAGAGATGTGAAAAGAATGGCAAGGTAAGTAAAGGTCTTTAAATAGGCATCAGAAGGCACTTAGCTGGAACATTTGGGACAGGCTGCTAATGTTTAAAGTCACTGAGGGCTGATACAATGGGGGAGTAGGGATTCCACTCAGCCATAGGAAACTGTCCATATGACTGTCTTTGGTACTAACAAGAGCTGCCCAGCTGATTTCGGGATGTTGAAATTATACCCCAACAAACCTAAATGACTATTAGATTTGGTGGTGTTTTATTTACAACACCATTGACCCGCTAATGATAAATTGCAGTGCAGTGCTCAGATGGGAGGACATGTGTTGACCACATGAACATCACATTAATTTGTTGTGATCATTCCCATAACAGTGCAGAATAAATAATGGCATCATGAATAGCCATTGTTGGTGTGGCCAGTCTGTGTGTTCCATGACATGCAAAGAGATGCCTAGATACTTGATACAGATTCCGCTGAGAGGAAAAAACAAACCTCTGGCTGATTCCTTTATAGTTTTCAACAGTAAATGCCAAAAAATATAATAAAATAAAATAAAATAAAATCTTGCTTTCTACTTTTGCATATGGCAAATGTTTGGAATGTCTGGAGCTGCCTACCTCTGCTGCAAGCTTTTTGTCCTCAAACAGTGCATGTTTTATAATAGCATAATAGAGGAACTGTACTGTAAGCACCAAGGAGGAGATTTGGGGGATTTAGGTGCATGAGGCATTTAGGTGCACAAGTCCTAGTGACTCTCCATAAGGCTTGTGTGCCTAAATTGCTTAGGTGGTTTTGAACATTTTCTCTCCCAAATGACTTGGTAGACCTGGAGTTACTTTGTCACAGGTAATATGAGCTGAGATGATCTTAGTTGAAAGCTAGCCCCAGTGTTTGTTCTACTCTTCTCTATTTTAGTTTCTTATAAGATGCCCATGAGCATAGAGGTCTGGAAAGAGCATGTTTCATTATCACTCTATGTTGTGCCTTAGGCTCTCAGATGGAAATAAGACCATATCTTATTTTGTATTTTGCAGAAAGCCATGATTTTTGGATGGGCTGAACACCCATCACTCCATTTAAAGTCAATAAGGGCTCTGAGTTCTCAGCACATTGCAAACTGGAGCCTTTCCTGCACTACCAGCACAACAGTGAAATGACCATGCTCAGAGCCTCTTTGTATGCAGGGCCGGCTCCAGGCTTTTTGCCGCCCCAAGCGGTGCAAA